CACACACACACACAGAGGAGTTTGTTGTTGTTGGACAGCACCAACATTCTTCACGTTACATTTCACACACACACACAGAGGAGTTTGTTGTTGTTGGACAGCACCAACATTCTTCACGTTACATTTCACACACACACACAGAGGAGTTTGTTGTTGTTGGACAGCACCAACATTCTTCACGTTACATTTCACACACACACACACAGAGGAGTTTGTTGTTGTTGGACAGCACCAACATTCTTCACGTTACATCTCACACAGAGAGAGGAGTTTGTTGTTGTTGGACAGCACCAACATTCATCACGTTATATCTCACACACAGTAGTTTGTTACGTAGCACGAGTGACGAGACAGTATATGCATTGTATACTCGTGTATGTGTTGTTTTACTTCAGTACGTAATTGCTATAATTAGGTATAATAATAACAATTTATAGCAAAGAGCAGACACTGGAGGTTAAGATTAGTGACAGAACATATTTTCTTTATAAAAGCTTATTAAGTTCGAAAAATAAGCAAACAAAAGGCACAGATTCACAGAGCCAGACAGTGTATAGCGCAAACAAAAAACACAGATACTCAATCAGACAGTGTATAGCGCAAACAAAAAACACAGATACTCAGAGCCAGACAGTGTATAGCGCAAACAAAAAAACACAGCTACTCAGAGCCAAACAGTGTATAGCGCAAACAAAAAAACACAGATACACAAAGCCAAACAGTGCATAGTTTCAATTGTTTTTTTTTATTCGTTTTTATTTACTTATTTATTTTTGCTATCTAAGTAACACACATATCAGAAAACTGGAGAAAAAAGATAGCAATTTCTGGTTGTTCTTTTCTAATAGACTGTGTTTGGATGTTTCAGACAGGTCACACGAAAACACAATAGTAAAATAATATTTATAATAAAATTAATTTTCTAATAAGTTCTACGGGCCTGTAACGCTGTATACATAGTTCTTGCCCGTGCCGTTAGGTGGAGAAAACGTATTTGATTTGTAAATTGTTTAAACAATTTTCTAATAAGTTTTACGGGCCTGTAACGCTGTATACATAGTTCTTGCCCGTGCCGTTAGGTGGAGAAAACGTATTTGATTTTATTAAATTCCCAAGTCCCTTCATAATGTGTGTATCAACTCATAGATCAAAGCTCTATTTAGATCAGATTACAGTAATAAAAGGAAAACAAAACTCACCTTCGAATGGATCAGTTAAAGATCATCCTCCTTTGATCTTGGTAAAAGCCCCAAGCGACAATGAAGCATGCAAGCAATCTTTAAGTGCAAGTCACTTTGAGCCTGTAGTTTCGGCATATTTGCGTTAACAAAAAAAAATCCACACAAACAATCTAAACTTTTAAAACGTCTGTCTGCTGAATATCTGATATATATATATATATATATATTGGTTCAAGAAGTCTTAATATAAAAAGGTAGACCCCTGTAAGAAGAAAAAGGATACATACTTGTGTATTAATACAACAGATTAAATCTGCCGAAAACGAGTGAAATTGAAATAGTCCTTTGATATTAATACGTAACCTCAAAAAGAAACGTAGAACAAAATTATATTTTAGTGGTTCTGATTGGTTTCTGTAGAACTTCAAAACATCACCTAAAATTGCTATTTTTATAATTTTTTCTTTTTTTACAGATAGCGAAAGTATACAAACGTATATTAAAGGAAGAAATACAGTATTTAATTCGACTAATAGTTTGTTGATAATTTCGCAACAAAAAAATGTACATGAAAATATTTTGCAAATTACTTATTTTTAGAAATATTTTTGAATCAGTTCATTAATTAATGTACGAACAGTATGTTATTACACGAATAAACCGAGAAAAAAATGAGGTTTACAAAGATGAGATACTTCGAGAAACTTAGAAATTAAAGTACGTATATTTGTAACATTTAAACAAATACAAGAAAAAGCAAGTGAGTTTATATATGAGGCATCCAATCATATACTAGTATTGATGTTACGTCACATTTATATCTGGAATATTGATTAATATGCTTTACAACTTACGTGAAAAATAAACTATTTTTCATAAGACTAATTGAAATTCATCTTATAATATATTTATATGTTTTATAGAAGTTTCTTGTAAATTTTCAGATGTCCCCTAAGAAGTGGTCGAAGAACACTTTTGGCTGGGCAAGAGCTGAAGTTTTAGGCGCATTAGTGAATGCCGTCTTTCTAATCGCACTTTGCTTTTCCATCCTAGTAGAAGCATTAAAACGGTTTTTTGATCCCGAGGAAACTCACAATCCTGTTTTGATCCTTTACGTTGGTGGCGCTGGTTTACTTGTAAATATCATCGGTTTGTTTCTATTTCACGGTAAGTAACAACATTTTACAGTTTTATTCCAACTACTTTTCTTGGCGCTGGTTTACTTGTAAATATCATCGGTTTGTTTCTATTTCACGGTAAGTAACAACATTTTACAGTTTTATTCCAACTACTTTTCTTGGCGCTGGTTTACTTGTAAATATCATCGGTTTGTTTCTATTTCACGGTAAGTAACAACATTTTACAGTTTTATTCCAACTACTTTTCTTGGCGCTGGTTTACTTGTAAATATCATCGGTTTGTTTCTATTTCACGGTAAGTAACAACATTTTACAGTTTTATTCCAACTACTTTTCTTGGTTAATATAAGAATAATTCTAGAACTTTCTTAAAAAATCATCGCGCTTTCCAGTCGTAATCCAAAGGTCATGACGGAGATTGTCTGTGGTAATACTAATCTATCAGTATCAGACAAAATCCAAAAAAGCAGATGAGAAAAATTAATTAAGAGTACAGAGTTGAGTGCTTATAGTTACACCCACAACGTCTCAACTCTTACTGCCTTTCACTGTCTGCAGCCAGTTGTGGGAAGGCAGTTACCCTTAAAGAGATGTATTAAAGTAAAAAGTAGAAATAAAATAAAGCCACTCAAAAAAAAACAATTTTAGTTACTAAACATTACCTACCATCCTCCGCTCTTAAAACTTAAATAAAAGTTCTAAAAACTCCTAACGTATCATAGTTACCACCCTAATAATTCCACCACAAATTACACCCTTTTCTCTCCACCCTTTTCTGAAAATGACATATTTTATATACAATGTCTTATACAATATTTTTTCTCCGTTGTCACATTATTCAAGTATAGCACGGGGTAACTGAGACAAGCCCAGCTACTTGAAGTTAATCTTTCCAGCCCCAGACATATTGAATAAATTTTAACGTTAAGTATTAAAGGTAGCTAACTACCTCTAGTGACGAAAATGTTTTTTTTTTTCTCATTGAATATTTATTTAGTAATATATTTTCAAATTTATTATGAAACCTTGCAAAAAAAACTATTTGCCAGTATTTATAACCATTATTTTCTAGTTTAGTTACGAATAATATTACATTATCCATAAAGAACTAACTGTTATTTCAAACAGTTAAAAATCTTTTTAATTGGGATATAATAACGCCTTTTAACATCAGACGAGGAACTACACAATTGGGGGTGGGTGGGTAGACCAAGGATGGGAAAATTAAATCCTCTTAATAATTAGCATTATTAATTTCAAGTTATTTTGAATATATTAAACTTGGTGAAAAGTACTGATTATTTATAGTGTTACGTCTCTGTTCGTTTGTTAATTTTCCGTAGAAATTATTTCCGAGAAACTTCTGCGATACAAGTCCTTTCTCAAATAAAACTAGTTTATTATTTCTCAATTCAACTTTGCAATACAGTTAATTTCCACAGTCACTTTAACTTAAACACACGCTATAATTAACAACGATTCACACGCTTTACTTACGGTCACTACCGCGCTTGACTCAATTGTCCGTCTCTGTCTCTATGCCGTCACTTTATTTGCCGGCTTATATACTAAAATAGAGGACGCGTAGAAAAGACTAGAGTTGTTGGGAACAGTCATGATCCTTCTAGAAACCCATGACGTGTTACCAGCGTCACGTGACTACCGCCGTCGTAACAACAGCAATTAGATCATCTATGTAACGAAAATTATATTTATATAACTTAGGATTTCAAACCTGTTTCGTAAATTCGTTTTCATAAAAAAATAAATACAGATTGGCCACATTTGAAGAGAAGTTAGTTCCCATTGGAATCCCCATCACAGTTTGTTTATATAGCTGTTCATTAAAGGTAATATAACTATTTTAAACACATAATGTTTTTGTACTGAATATTAGTAAGTTTGTATTTAGGAATACTTATTTCTGTGTCTATAAAATCATCGAACAGGTAATTGAAAACTTTCATTAAATCTTTTAGATCTATTTTGATATGTAATGTTATGAAATCATAAGCGGAAACAAGATTAGCCCTTAGCCCTAAGCCCTTTCAGAAACATTTAAATCATTTATACATTCCAAAACTGATATATTGTTCTTATTGATCCAAGAGCATTCATTTGCATTATTTAAACATGGTGTTTTTATTTTTTCAAACACAACATCCAGAATATTGTTAACAACAATTGATACAGATTTAGTGGCTGTGTTTAAAGAATTTGTTATAAATCTGAATTTAATGGGATTTTTAAGCAATTTAGGAATTGTATATAAAATTGGCAGAAACAGAAGAGTATACATATATATTCCATTTTTTAATGGCTTTCTCTATATTAGTTATAATGTTATTTTTATTTAAAGTACTTTTGTTAAATGTACTTGTATTGTTAATTTCTTTAATAAGAATTTGAGCATACAGTTTTTTTACAAATAAAACCCGAAGTTGCAACCTGCCTTATCAGTAGAATTGATAATAAATTGTCCTTGTATCTTTTTTTATTTTATTTTTAAAAAAGCCCCCAAGTGGCACAACGATACGTCTGCGGGCTAATAATGCTAGAATCTAGGTTTCGATACCCGTGGTGGGCAGAGCACAGATAGCCCATTATGTATCTTTGTGCTTTATTACAAACAAACAAACAGTTTTTAAAAACATGAAAAGAACTATCAGTTTTATATTGAGCAAGGTTTAAATTTATTAAACGGTATTTTTTATATAATTCATCAAATACAGTTTCTATTGAAAAAAGAAACATGGAGGATAGTAGGTATTCTTACTTATATTGATAATATAATTATCAATATTTTTTCCTGATTTTTCAATGTTGTTTGCAATTCTCTACTTTTACTGATCTCTAAATTACCTGTAACTATATTAAATCCTTCAATAAACTTTTTGTAATTGAAGATAGGAGGACCTATAGGTTTATTATATTTAAAACTAACTATATGCTGCTCTGATTTAATAAGGAAAATAGTTTTTTGGACACTTTGATGAATCAAGGAAGGTAGAGCTAAGTCATCATATATGCTATACTTAAAATCTATAGCTATTAGGTCGTCAAGAAATTAATGTCGCGTTTTGGAACACTTTCATTAACCCTCCCCCCAAAAAAACGTACATCACCTATAATAGTTAAACGAATCGCCTGAACGTCACGTTAGTGTAGCCTGTATAATGTGTAAAGTTTAGTATACTCTAATCCCTTATAGTGATGGTACACGACGATACACACATTCGGCATGTAATGCTGTTTGAATACAAGAAGGGAAACAACGTCTCTGTAGCCACAAAGAATATCAAAGAAGTTTATGAAATGTTTTGAACGTTCGTATGTGTCAACGATGGGTGAGAAAATTTCGTTCAGGTGACTTTAGCCTTTAGAACTGTGATGACAGCGGCCGACATGTTGGAATTGATATTGATGCACTGAAGACGCTTTTTGAGTCTAACCCAAGACAACACGCTTGTGAAATGGCCCTAAAATTGCATTTCTCTCATGAAATATGAGGTTTGGGAATATGGGTTTGGGTGTCTCACAAACTCTCCGATGATCATAGTTTCCAACGTGTAAACCTTACTTCGTCTCTTCTTTCGCGAATGGGCATGAACCATTTTTGGACAGAATTGTCACCGGTGATGAAAAAATGGATTCTATATGCGAATATTAAACGCCAAAAACAATGGCTCAGTCCTATAGATAAACCACTTCGACCCCAAAACCTGGCCTCCATCAAAGGAGTAATTCATTTCGAACTCTTGAATCCACAGCGAACTGTCAATGCAGAAATCTATAGTCAGCAACTGGAACGTTTAAGTCAAGTCTTTAATCAGAAACGCCCTTCTCTCGTCAATCGGAAAGGTGTTCTTCTCCACGACAATGCATGTCCACATGTGGCACGTTCGTAGCAAAG